TCATGCGCGGCAGTCGTGGCGCTCGTGGCGTTCGCGCCGGAAGACACCGGGACGACACTCAGAGGATTAAACGTCCATGTGTGACCGTGTATGTCCAACGCCACGCGCAAGTCGCCATCGGAATAGATTTTAATTACTTTCCCGGTTTTCCCCAGAGCCTGCGACAAGCACAAATCCGATAACTCACGCATCATCGCTCTCGCATACAGTCGTACCATATAAAAACGGGAGTGTAAATTGCCGACTAACATTTTTCATCACGTCTATCCATTCACCGTGGCCACGTTGATATTGCTTGACGGCGGCCAGATCGCTCTTCACGCGGACTATATCGCCAAGAGAGAACGCGTCCTTAGCGGTAACCTTCGTCAGAGCACCCGGGTGGAAGGTCCACCTATTATGACAGCCCTCGTACTGCACGCGAATGTCTCCTTTGTCCGTAATCCGGTGCACCGTGCCGATCTAGATTTTAAATGGAAAAATTAAATTCCACGAGAGATTCCTTACACTATCTCCAATTGAATACAGTAAAAGTATCGGTTTCCCAATTAAGAACCCAACAGAATAAAATACGCTCCCAGAGTATATTCTCAAAATCAACGGAAGTTTAACTTTCCTCCGTCTCGTTCTAGAGACAAAACCGAAATCCAAGAAAATCCAAAGAATGCCCGTATCTCGGTTTAAATTACTCTTTACCTTTTCCTCATTTTTAGAACTAGAAAAGGATATAAAGTTAAAGTGAAATTAAAGTTAATCTGCATTGGTAGATACGGACACTGGAGATTCTCAAGTTAAGCTTCGGTTGATGTTAATGTTTAAGGGACCGACTCGCGGACGATCGTGCAAACTTTCGCGAAATACCTTTCCTATGTACTCAGCCATACGCGGGTTCCATCCACCGTGTCCATCCTGCATCTCCTTTAACGTATCAACCTCCATTAGCACTTTCACCTTGTCGCCAACGTTGAACGTTAAAGGGTGCGGACTAGACGCGATGCTGGCGACACCGTTCTTCGTCGGTGTCGTGCTGTTTCCGTTATCCGGCACGGTCAGGACCGGCTGGCCGAGCAACGGCAGGTGCTCCTTGTAGTAAGTACCAGCATCGGCCTCCTCTACGTAGCACAGATCCACGCAGCCTTTGAAGCCTAACCGGTACACGTTGGTGCTGCCTGTGGACCACGTGACGGTCGCGACGGACCGGCTGCTCTCGTTGTCCCATCCGCGTATGTCCATGACTCTGCCGGTTTTCCCTGAAATATCCGAGGCAAGTTAGACCGGCGAGCTATCGCACGGCTGCGCAATTCGTATCAATCATCTAAACAGAATATGAATACCACGTCCGCCGTCCTGATTTCCCCACTCCCAATCCGGCCCGCGAATCACCTTCGCCCCTATGAAGATCCCCTTGAGCGGTATCTTGGCGCACCCTTCCCTCGGCCCCAGACGGACTCTGTGCACAATTAGAAACGCAGCCGCGATTATGTTGCGCACATCGGGACGAGTGGCGCGAGTACAATTTGCAACCGCGGACGCTCACCCCACGGAATTCGCAGTCTGATATCGCTCGAAGGTGTGCGTCGACTCGTGCACGTCGGCCATGTAGCACTGCGTGCAGAGGTCGTAGTCGAAACACTCGGTGCACTTCCACCTGATGCCGATTATCCCGTGCCTCTTGCAGCCGTCGCAGATGATGTTGGAGTGCTTGACGCCAGCGGCCGCGTTGTCGAACACCAGGAGGTCGTAGGCGTTCTGGTAGCCGATCCTGTAGTTACTCCTCGCGCCGTGGTCCCATTGAACGATGACCGTCTTGTCCGGCGTCCGGTCGGTGGGATTCGGGCTGGAGGTGGAGTTTCCCGCGGAGGGGGGCCTGCCGATCTCCACTATCGTCCCGGCGTGGCCCTCGCCGCCATCCTGATCGTCCCATTTCCAGTCCTGGCCGCGGACGACTCGCAGGCCGACCTCCAGCATCTCCGGGCGTGGAAAATTTCGCTTCTCTTCCTTCAACAGAAACATTACGTGCAGTCCACATTTTATCCGAGAAACGTAATCGTATCCCTCGCCGAGCTCGTTAACAGGGGGACTGTCTCTGTATAGTTAATAACATTACTTATCGCTTTGTATGACTGGTGGAACATCGGCTATCGACTTGGGCTGACACGTGCAAGACACCGAACTGTCCAAGGTCATTATTTTAAACGTGGCAGTTACCTATAATAATATTGGATCGTCCCGCGAGTAACGCGGTATATAAAAGGGGACTCGATGTATTCCCGAGCTCAAAACCGAAAATACGGTCAACCCACGATCGCGAAAGACCCTCGTTCTCGCCAGCAAGCTGAACGGTAGCTCAAAAGTCCTTTTCGCGTCACTTTAACCGGTACCTTTCGAGAAAGCCTCGTGGCTCGCGCGACGACCCAACCAAGTACTCGTCAGGTTTACGCGATCGCGCGAGAGGAGACGCGACGGCAATCCCGCGACACGCAATACGTTTCCACGTGCTCGGGGAGCGATCGGGAACCGTCTCGGTCAGTAACGTCATCGGCGCGCGCGCGCACTTTCCCCGCAGCCGGGCATCTCCGTCCGGGCGACGTCCGCGGCACGAAACGCCCGCGGGAATCCGGAATCGCGAGATTCCGCCGCGACTCCGCTCCGGGTACCGGGAGGGGGAGACGCGTCGGTTACCTGAAGGCAGCGGTCCCGACCCTTATGAATCATACGCGGCGGAGCGACGTCGGTGGCGGCGACGGCGGCGACGGCGGCGACGGCGACGGCGACGGCGGGGCCGACGTTCCGCGGGCACTGGTGTGACGCGCGCTGTAGCTGGTGGCCGGCCGTGGGGAAGAGCCGCAGACATTACGCGGCATCGTGGCCGGGGGATCACGCGCGCTCCATCGCCGCGGAATACGGCGACGGCGGCGGCGACGGCGGTGTCCGGGGGGGGATTCTCACGTCCGCGATGCTGGCGACGATAACCTCATAACCGGGCTCGCTGACGATGGCGCCTCCTTCGATCCGGAGCACACGTCGGCCCGCCGAACCGACGCACGGGGAACTGCGGAGAACTTAATTGGGTGTCTCTCTTCCGCTCCTCGCACCTTCTCTCT